TTGCATTGCAATTTAGTCAGTGATAAATATACGATGCGAATTATTCACAAAAAACAACTAGTCTTTACTTAAAGAGTTTGTAAACGAGGAAAAGGTTTAGAGAGATCCTCTTTAAATAGCCATAAAAAATCTGTTAAATGGAAAATGTTTTTTATGGTCTACAAGTTGCATTATGTAACTGTTTGTTTAATTTTTTAACTTAAAAACTTCTAGTCCATGGTACCTGTTTATATCAAATTATTAATAACCGCCTGAAACTTCGTATATGGTTTCATCTCATCGTAACCTACAAATATTTTATTTACAATAATTCTTGGAATTAAGGCTTTTTTAATCTGGAGATCGGCAAACTTTATCTATTTAATTAGGTACTAAAAACTCGTAAATACTCATTTGCTTTCCACTTGATTCGTAAGATAATTTCAGCACAAAATCAAGGAAAATTTACCCTCAAAAATATTGAGGCGTTTGGGGGTAATCTATACCCCCAAATTGTCAAAATGACGAGGTTAGAATAGAATAGAAAATAATTTTATTCCGGGACGAAGTCCCTTCAGAATAACAAAAAAGGACAAAATTAAAATGTTATATCTGGCCAAATAAAAGCAAACATAAAAAGTAAAGATAAAGATAAATCAGTAAAGAAAATATTAGTTATACAAACTATATAAAAAAATTAAAAAAATCTATATACAAAACTCTTGAAACCTTGCCAAGACACTTAAAACTATATACAATGGTAAAATATAAATATACACTTTTAGAAAAAATAAATAAAAAATACATTACATTTTTCTTAGCAGTAAACTCTGTGTTTCTGTTAAAAAAAAAAGAAAGTCGAATCTGATAATAAGTATTTAAGTTATGAGCTTAATGTAAATACATTATTACGAATAATATGTAATTTTACATAAAATTACATAATTATAAAATTATAAAATTACATACCTTGTCTATCTGACTGTTTTTGGGACAGGAATTGGAATAGGAGGGTTTTGAATGCAGATAGGGATGAAGAATACCGAATTTTGATAGGAAGGGAATTCCAAAAATTAACAGAAGGAGTTTTGGAACGAGGCAGATCTGTGAGGAGGAATGTAAAGGTCGGAAGGTCGAGATCTTGTGGAAAGGGAATGGACTGAGGACTTGAATTGGAGAAGGTTCTAGGCCTAAGAAGGACGATGATTGTTGATGATATGATAGAGGAATGTACCTTGTCTATATGAAGTTTATATAGACTAAACGAACCAATATTTTTGTTGGTCATCTTTTTTATCGTTTTTTTCAAATCAAATCATCTTACGATCCAAGTGAAAAGAAAATGGGTATTTACGAGTTTTTAGTACCTAATTAACTAGACAAAGTTTACAGATTGAAAACGCCCCAATTCCATGAGTTTCCTAAATAAAATATTTGTAGGTTACGATGAGATGAAGCTATTTACGAAGTCTTAGGTGGATGTTAATAATTTGATAAAAAGGGATCTGTACCACGGACTATTTGTTAGGAGGACCCAGGATTTTACAGCAAGGGGTCAACAATCATCTATATCCGCTACTTACTTTCGTCATAGTATGCGATCATGAACGATCACATAACCCGTAGATGGGATAACTGGACATGAACGTCAATAATTACGTAGCATTCAGCCCGGTCGAGATATAAGGTGGTTTCGTGGATCGGTTTCGAATCAGCATTTCAATTGACGGCTTACAGGTGTGGAAACGCCGGCACAATCACGTACACCTCTATACAACAGGAAATGAGTAACGCGCGTATTATTCAACTAAGTATAATTTATAATTCATTTGGTGTTCCGTTTGTTAATATATTATTTGGGAGGCGGTGGTGAAGAAGCTTCTTCTATTAGCACTATATCTATTTTTAAATAATACATTGTTAGACTATTCTTTTATGTCCAGGTAGTGTCTTAAATATCATAACTCCTGCGATGTTGTGGTTGAAACATTATTAAAATAGACCTGGGAGAATGTTCCAAGATTGAGAGTGAAACTTATTCAATCTTCATTTCATTCTTTTTTTTTTTTTTTTTTTTTTTTTGTAGAGTGCTACCAGTGGGTAGTTTCTCACCAAATGATTTCATGTTATTATATTCTATTGTACACATTTACTGAATGTATTTTTACTTGTAATACAGTTGTAAATATCATTAATAAATAAATAAATAATTCTTTTTTTGTTTTCCACTTAGTAGTCAAAGTATAAAGATAAATCATAGTCCGTGGCACGGATCCCTTTTTATCAAATTATTAACATCCGTCCGATACTTCGTAAATAACTTCATTTGATCGTAATCTACAAATAATTTATTTACGAAAATTCTCAGAATTGAGGCTTTTTCAATCTGGAGATTAGCAAACTTTGGACATAAGTACTAAAAACCAGAGATGGACAAATGCTGTTCTGAGTAGTGAGTAACCACGTTCGGATCTACGGGAGGAGGGGGGCTTTCGGACTGAAGCCCCCCCAAAATGTCAAAATATAACCACGTTTTATCGAAAAAAATATTTAAAAAGTATCTCTTTAAGTATTATTGTTTGTGTAATTACATTTTAAAGGGCTTTAGAAATCACTTAAACACCATTTCATACAGGTAGTTAGCTTCTTTATTTTTTTCCAAAGTAATTACCGTTACTTTTATGGAAAAAAAACTTTCGGGCTGAAGCCCCCCCCCCAAAAAATTAAATCCTGGATCCGTTAGTGTGAGTAACGAATGTTGTATTCAAATACTGATTTTATTTGAATGCCAAAGAATTTATTTACAACTTCAGTTGATGTTAAAGAATTTACTGAAATAGTGATTGAATGTCCAATAGAGATACAATTTGAGTAAAACAGTTGGTGCCCGGCAATAACGGATCCAGGATTTAATTTTGGGGAGACTTCAGACCGAAAGCTTTTTTTACATAAAAATAACGATAATTACTTTGGGAAAAAAGAAAGAAACTAACTACCTATATGAAATAGTGTTTAAGTGATTCCTAAAGTCCTTTTAAATGTGATTATACGCACAATAAGACTTTAAGAGATAATTTTTAAATATTTTTTTCCATAAAATATGGTTTGGGGAGGGGTGGGGAGAGGGGAGCTTCAGCCCCAAAGCCCCCGCGTAGATCCGCCCGTGGTGCTCGTACTCAGAGTAGCATTTGTCCACCTCTGCTAAAACCTCATGAATACTCATTTGCTTTCCACTTGAATCGTAAGATAATACGATCACAAAATCGAAATAATAGGTGTCCTACAAAAATATTGGGACGTTTGGCCTATATATACTTGTTATTTTAACTTTCTGGGATGGAGATTCTATGCTCAAATTATCTTACGATTCCAAATTCAAGAGATGAAGCTACTTATGAAGTTTCAGGCGGATGTTAATAATTATAAAAAATTATCATAAAACAAGGTCGTAATCATAAATAATCATAATCATAAAAAAGGGTCTTACCACGGACTATCACTAAAAATCTCTAAAATACAAAAAAAAAAAATCATCGAAATTATTTGCGAATAATAAAAATAAAAATAATTTCGAAAAGTACCACCAAAACTATGCTAACATTAAAGTTCACAAGCAAAAAAAAAAATAAAAAAAAAAATAGCACATTTCTTTTACATCTTTGTATCTCAAATTTTTTTATTTTAACATTTTATGAAATTTACACCTGCGCTGCAGGGCATCTAGCAAATCTGACATACTAGCCATTAGCTGCGAATTTGCTTGAAATTTTTTTTCCCTTGTTATTAATGTAGGAGTAGGTCCCTTGGCCATTTTCTTTTCCGTCTGCTAGATCAGGTAACAGGGAGCAGGAAATAGAAATGACTAAGGGATTGATGTGATTTTGGAGTTGAAGAATGAAATGAACTGTATTTGTTGTAGATATAGGATTTTACTGTTGGAATGTTTAAGGCGTTGTGTATAGCACTAGCGGATCCAGGATTTAATGGGGGGGGGGCTTCTGCCCGAAAGCTTTTTTTTTTTCATAAAAATAACGATAATTAGTTTGGAAAAACGGAAAGAAACTAACTACTCATATGAAATGATGTTTAGGGGTTTTCTTAAGTCATTTTAAATGTAATTTCACGAACAATAATACTTTGAGAGGTATTTTAAATTTTTTTTTTCCATAAAACATGGTTATATGTTACCATTTTGGAGGGGGATTCAGCCCGAAAGACCGCCCCCCGTAAATCCGCCCGTGATGTATAGTGTTGTTCGAAATGTACCAAGGTGTAGACAATTTTTCGTAGAATTTTTGATTCTATTGTTTGTATTTTATTTATGTTTGTTTGTTTTCTGAGCCCCAAAGTTCTGCTCTGTAAGTCCGAATTAGTCCCAGTATGGTGTTGTTGATCAGTCGCTTGTTTCGTAAGTTGAGTGGAGATCTGTAGTCCAGAAGATGTGAGAGTTGATTATATCGTCTAGTCAGTTCTTGTCTTTTTAATTAAGTATGTATTTAAAACAATAAACATAATAAGAAAATCTTTCAAAGAAAACGAAATATTCCAATTATAATATTTTAACCGGAAGGCGAAGAAATAAATGGGATAGAAAGCACGACTTGGATCTTTGATGGTCATATGGTACGTCCAACAGCAGAATGCGACAGACACCTGTAATGGAGATACTGCGAGTGAATGAAATTCGACCTAACCACAACTTTAGGAAAAAAAGAAGTTTATAAATATTTTAAAATTATTTCAGTAAACGTACATCTCACATCAGTTATTATACTCTCAAAAGACTTGGGGTACTGAGTCTATCGCTGCCAAGCCTCATAACAATTTAATATAATTCGTTATAATAGAGTAATTTATTAATTTTTTTTTCTTTTCCACCATTGAAAATTAAGAATAATTTTTTTTTTTAATTATCACAGGAAAATAAATTATAAGTTTTAATATGAATTTTTTTTTTCATTGATCGGATTTTATAATTCGCCCTCCACAAATAAACACATATGGTTTTATATGTGTGTTGAAAAATATTAGGGTATAGAGTATTAGTGCACGACAACCTGTATATTTGTGTATTTGATAAAATTTTCAATAAACTCTTATCAGGAGTTGATATTCTGAAAAGGGAAGGTTTTATTTCTGTTTCTTATCAAAAAAAGGTATGTGAATCAATTCAACAAGTTAAAATAAAAATGAAGGAATGTTAGACACTCATGAAGAGGTTAGCATTCTTGTATTAATAGAGAAATAAATTACTATAAATAAGTGCAGTGTATTAAAAAAATATCCCCACATTTTCTAATTTTGCACATGCTATATTTTTACATTTATTATTTTTTTCAATACTATTTTTTAAAATAAAAATCCAGCGATATTTTTATTGATTCTTTATTCAGAATTTAGAAACCCAAAAAATGAATAAATGTAATTATATTCATAAAAACAGTATTTGTGTTGTTCCTTCGAATTCCTTCGATTTTCAATTTTCCATTTCAAATTTTAATAATTCTATAAATCTCATTGTATCAATTGCTAATTGTCAGCGCGTTACTGATTTTATTTTGGTTTTTGAGGAAATTCATCTACATTAATTAATAAAAATATCTTAATGTTTCTTTTAACTCATTTTAGTTTTCATGAGATTTTGTAAAATGGTTAATACATATCGTGTTGAGGTGAAATTCCTTTCAATTGTGTACACGACTCAGGTTTCGGAATAAAGTTCTGTAATAAGAAAAAGTATTTTCTGTTCTTTAAGGCGTGGATCTACTCAGACACACTCACTCAGCATCTGTGTGGAGGGGAATAGAGTATTCAATGCGATGTGATCTTAACTATATCCAGGAGTGATCATCATCCCCAAGGCCGATGGCACAAGAACCTATCCTCTTCTCTCCTCCCAAGATATTTTATTGCTCACATTTTCTTAAAACAGAGTATGCTAAGATTGAATTAGAAAAATCGTATATCATATACAATTACACTTACTACGGTCTGTTCCAAGTTTTCTCCTTGTTTCTTAGTCCGAAAATTCATGACAATTTGCCACCTCTCAAAAATTCAAAAACCTGTCAAAATATGTCCCCTCAAAACTTTTGATTATTTTTTTTGAGGAAATTCTTTTTTTTTTTTAACGGTTTACAACTTAGTTGTTTTGCAGTTCCTAAAAGTTCTTGCCACTTCTTTCGGTATCGCTAATCTCCTTCTCGAGGACCTCTGGTGGCCTTCTTCACATCCTGTATCCATATCTTTCTAAGCCGTCCTATTTTACGCCGTTCTATCGATTGATATAGAAAGGTTAATTTGGTCATCGCTCCTCTGTTATTCTTTTTAAATACCATTTCAACCTTTTTGTTTCTGTGTTCTCCAGTATAGTTGTTTCTTACTGAATCTTCTGCCTAATAGTTTTGTTAGACAGTCTGTAAATGCCACAAAAGCCCATCTCCAATGATAGTAACTTCGTATCTTCCATTTTGGTGAACACCCACGTTTCAAATCCATGTAGAGTGACACTTGAAAAAACAAACGTACTTTAAATTACTGAAATTATGACCATTTATAAGTTGAGAATTTTTAAAACAGCCATAGTTATATAATTATATTTACTTATAGAGATGGTTTTTGGCTTGCAGTGACGAAAGAAACACAATGTGGAGATTAATTACTTTATTATACTTTACTCTATGTAAACAAACTCTAAAATGTAGATAAATTAATCGGTATTTATCATAGTTTCATTGATTATGTCTATTGTAAACTATATATTTTTCAAAATAATTTTATAATTATTATATCTTTAAATCTATCAAATACCATAAATTGATACCAATATTTTATTTACATTGCCTGTCTTTTAAATTAACCATGAACCCTACTAGATCTTTTGTCAACTGTGATACTAATATTTTAGCGAGATAATCTTTGAATAATTTCAAAATTGTTGTATTTTTCCTGTACTATCTAAGATCACGAATGAAAAATATTTCCTCTATATTAATCATTAAATATTGAATTAGTTAAATTGTAATTGTATATTTATTAATTCTGTACAGAGCCAACTCATTAATACTCATTAACTCATTAAGCCAACTTATTAATACTTAATGCCAACAAAGAATTTATGCTTAATGATATTCAAACTGTATTTATACAAATTGATAATATAAATTTAATATACACCTTTTACAGAAATCAAAACAAGTGTCTTGCTCAATGTATCGATGTAACAGGAAATGGAAAAAAAGATTACTTTTTCAGGGATCCTAACCACTCACTCATTCCAATGAGCTAAATATTTTCTTCCAACTGATTGGGAATGGCAATTACTTGCTTATAAAATTATAATTGGTAAATGGTTGACTGTCGTGGATAATGAATAGAATAATAGTTGGGGTGGTCAGTCAAAAAAGAAGGCAAAAATAAATGATAATATTTATTTTTACATATGCCGACGTTTCGACCTGAAATACTTATGTCAACTTTTTTGACTATGTTTACTTCATCATTCCACACTTTGTACCTGTTATTATTATTTGTCTCTTTTTCTTAAATATTGTCATTATTCTAACAACTTCATTGTACTGTAATTTTTATGTTTCTCATACCTTGTTACCTGGTTCTTTTCTTAGCCCTGATGATGGCCTGAACTTCGGGTCGAAACGTCGGCATATGTAAAAATAAATATTATCATTTATTTTTGCCTTCTTTTTTGACTGACCACCCCAACTATTATTCTCTTCATTATAAAATTATAATTTTTTCATGGCTTCCATTGAATTTTACCTTATGATTAAAAATAAATAAATATATGACGTACTTTGTTATAAAGAAATAAATAAAGCAATAAAAGGAATTATAAATTAACATCAGAATCATTAACTTTCTAGTTAAATTCACTTAAAGTTATTTAGACCTTGTTTACCCCTCATTGGAAAGGGTGATTGTATTTAACAAAAGAATTTCATGCAATTGACTGAAGTCTTTATATCCGTTCAAAATACATTCGTCAATAAAAATAATCGATATTTGTTAAGTTTATTGAATTGTATTACAATCGAATGCGAATTGTACCTTCTCCGGTTCTCCTGTCCACAGGGTCGACCCACAGTTGACGTAATAAATAGTATAAATAATTACCTGATTCTGGAAATAGAGTCTAGGAGAAAAATACGTTACTCACGGAGCTCGCCCGCTTCCCAAAAATATCATATATGGTATATTTTTTAACAAATTACACAATAGGAAAGTTGCGTATCAAAATCAGAAATCAAAAAGAGCTCCAACAAAACAAAACATGATTTTGAGTGAAAGAACTCACGAGCGAGTGAGTTTCAATAGTTATTTAGAGTGACAGCTTCGGTTCGCAGCCGACTCATCGCGATCAGTTTGAAAGTGACTCCGAGAATTTTAGTTGGTCTATATCTAGTGAAGTCCTAAACCAAACTAGAGTCACTTATCATTACAATTATCATTCTACCTATTGTTATCCAATGTTTGTTCTTTCCCATTTGTTCAAGTGTTTAACAAAGTAGAAAACTTACCAGTATCCAAACTATCGCATCCGGAAAATTCTGCATTAGGTTTTTGCAAAACGAACATACATACATATGTGGCGCGACGTCACGTTACCGAGATGAGGCCTCCTCCAGTTAGCCTTTTTTTTTTTGGTCCTCCCCTTCCTCGCCTTTTAGGCTATACGGCGTACGGGGGTTTTCCCGGGCCTGGGAGTGTGGGCGGGGATTTCAAAACTCCTCTGGGCACCGGGACGCGAACTCGGACGCTTTTTTTTTTATATCAAAGTCTTATGTATCAGGTTGCCGGGCAACGGCGGTGCAGTGCACACTCCTTAGCCCATTCGGCCACCCCGCCCAAACCTCCAGTTGGCCCTGTCAGCTTTCCAGTTCCGTGCGTCAAGCAGAGTTCTTGCATGATGGGCCATGCTGTCCAGCCATCTCGTCTTCGACCTTCCTACCCGTCTTGCGAGGAGCAGCTCCTCAATCATTATTTTTTGGGGTATTTCAAAGAGGGTTATTCTGCCCACATGCCCTGCCCACCTTAGTCTGGCAAGTTTAATCTAGGTGACTACATCGACGTCTGGATAAACACACTCAGCTTCATCTCACCACTTTTCGTTATTGTTCAATCCTCTGAGCCATATGTCAAAACTGGCCGTACAAGGGTTTGTGTATAATCACCTTGCTCTTCTTTGAGAAATACTTACTTCTAAAGTGACTGCAAGTCCAAAGACACATCTGTTGGCAGCCGTGATCCTTGTCTGTATTTCTTGCGCCATGTCATTCTTTCTGTTTACTTCAGATCCAAGGTGTACAAATTGTTTTACTCTCCCAAACTTGAAAGATCCTATCTCAAATAGAGAGAGTTCAGATCCAGCTGACCACCAACTCTCATATACCTGGTTTTCTTCTCGTTGATTTCTAGACCCAATCGTCTTACAGCTGCTTCAAGAGCTGTAAACTCCTCTCTGAGAGCCCGTTCAGGGCTTCCTATAATATCAATATCATCAGCAAAACAAGCAAGCTGTGTCAGGCAATGGAGATTATATCGCTGGTCTGGATACTGGCCTCTCTTACAGCTTTCTCCTCTGCCAAGTTGAATAATAGGCAGGAGAGGGCATCCCCTTGCCAAACTCCACTTCGAACTGTTCAGAGGCATCACAACTGACGAGTATTCTACATTTTGAGCTGTCCATGGTCATCTTGATTAGGCCTATGAGCTTCTAAGGGATGCTTATCTCCTCCAAGGCATAGTATAGTTGTGTCTTATCAACGCTACTTTAAAGTCCACGATGGTGCGTGACTAACCTACGTTCTATACTCTTTCCTAGGATCATTCTGAGGGAAAACAGTTGGTCAGTGGTTGCAAAATAAATAGAAATATTAGGAAAAATCTAAAGGAGCAATATTCAAAATTAGTGAAAGGATGGGAACCCCTTTTAAATCAGGAAAATTGTTTACTAATGTCGTTACCTCGGAGTCAATAAGATGCCTATTTCGGAACGATAACTGGGCATGGCTACTGTCAGTAGCATCTTCATGAAATTCGAGTTGTCAACAGTCTCATCTGTTTCTAATGGCATGAAGAGACGTAACAGCTCATTGTCATGATGTGTGTCCTGTCATGGAGGGCATTATAAATTCATTCATTTATTTTGAGAATAAATACTCGAGAAAATCTAGTCTGTACTGGACTACAAGAAAACGTAAGCCGGCGATTCCACGCCACTCTAGCGTAATTGTAAAAAAAAAAATCTACTTGTTCTATTCATTCAATCTACAACTATCTTATTTACAAAAACTCTTGAAATTGAGGCGTTTTCAATTTGGAGGGGGGTAACCGTCTATTTCAATGGGTACTAAAAATTCGTAAATACCCATTTGCTTTCTACTGGGATCGTAAGATTGATTGATCACAAAATCGATAAAAATGGCGACTTACAAAAATATTGGACCGTTTGTCCTATATAACCTCGTTATTTTGAAAATTTGGGGGTGTAGGTCACTTCAAACAGCTCAATATTTTTGAAGGTCATCTTTTTTCTCGAATTTGTGATCAAATTATGTTAAGATCAAGTTACCCCTTCCAGATTGGAAACGCCCCAATTCCAAGAGTTTTCGTAAATAAAATAATTTTAGGTTACGGTAAGATGAAACTATTCACGAAGTTTCAGGCGGATGTTAATAATCCGATAAAAAGGGGTCTGTACCACGGACTATTACATACAGGCGTGTTGAAGTATATACCATGGTATCATAAAGTGACACTGCTCCTTGTTTTAATTGATACATTGACCTGATGAAGACTCATTGAGGAGCCTAAAGATCGCAATGGTCTGTAGCACTATGGAGTAGTAGTAGTAACGCCATTTAGTATAACAAACAAGGGTTTCGGAATAACGAAAAAGGACACCTTAACTCCTACATGCCTCGATGTGTTGTGATGGTGTGTTTCTGGAAGCACCATAAGAACGTTCAGATTACAACTGATTCCACTTAAAGTTACTTTTTAGCATAATGTTTTTATGAAATATTACTAGGTCTCTTCTTCTTTGATTGACTATAGGAACTGCATTATTGGAATTACATGTTACAGATGCGGTGGTGGCTGGGAGTGGTGGTGTGGCTAGCCCTGTTCGGAGGAGAGAATGGATCGGTGGTATCGCCGGAGGATCAGGGCCTGAGGGCCGGCAACTGGGGTCCTGGACCCGGCCTCCTCGAGTCTTCGGACCCTGCCACGGAGCCCTCTCCTGAGGACCTCAACGCCACCGACCTCATGACCAAGCTGGGATCTGCCTTCGATGTCCAATTCATGAGCGTCAACGAACCTCCCGAGGGGTTACAGGCGATCGATACCTCGCAGTTCAGTTTCAGGTGAGCATCTCCTGATTATCTATCTGTGTCTGATTAACTATCTTCCTGCAGCAATTAAAAAAAAAAGAAAAAAGCAAAGAGATAGAAAAAGTATTTACTTTGTTATTTGGCAATGATTACTTCCAATTAACAACAATTGAATATATTTGTTGTATTATCAAAATTGCATGTTTACAAGTTTGCGTTTCGGGATATTTACCCCCATCTTCAGAACCACAATCCCAATGATCTTGTGGATACATGGCTAAAAAAAATTGTTTCGAGTTAAGATATAGTGCATGTTACAATACATGTCAGAATTTGGTTGTTACAATAAATTTGTAATTACCTTAAAACTAATGTATTACATCGTCAGTTTCTAATTCATGTTATAATAAATCTAGGTATATAACATCTAGAGCAACATCTTGCTTTTAGACTAATTATTGGGTGTCTGCCATAGTGAATACAATTGACCTTTCGATCTGACTGTTTATTCTTATACTAATGTTGTTAATGTTTATTTTTTATGTATTTGCAAATTCATTCCTCTCATCGATCATCTCATCCCCTTCCTTTCATCGATTACGGATAATTTTTACAACAAAAATAAAGATCAAGAGGTTTATTTTAAATTCAGTCTTCCGCGTCCATTAATTAATTATTAAAAAATGTCTTTAAAAATATACATAGTAAGGAAATTATGACCATTGTTCTAATGTAAGAAGTTAGTCAATAGTTACAAACATTGGTACTAATGTTTATTGGTTAACGCACGTTTCGTCCGTTGTAAGTCTTCATCAAAACTTTCGTTGAACAATTGCGGCTTCGGAAATAAGGGAACTGACAATCAATTTTCGATAGAAAATTTGAATATCGGTATATTCTTCTTAAAATGCGATTAATCGATATTTTGTCTACATTACCTTTGTTGAGGATGCTCCATAATTTAATTATTCAGAGATAGATATATATATATTTGTTGCATATTTATTTTAAATTATGAGGATTAGTAACAGTAAAGACTTTCTATCTAGATATGTCTTATTCAGTTTGAGGACATTTAGATCCAGCATGTGGGTCATCACAGGGCAAAAGTTGCTGTCTAATTCTTGATGCTAGATTAGATAGAGATTAACTTTGAACCCACATGCCAGAATAAACAGAAAGAGCTTAACGGACGATTTGGCAAATTATACTTTTAAAACTTTTAAACTGAATGTCTCACTTTTGAAAAACAAACTAATAATCTCCAAGGCTATACCGAAATCTATTTAGACCTTCTGACTTAAGGGGTAGTTACATATTCGAATATCAAATGTATCCAATCCTTCCAGTTCAAACAACAAACAAGAGTTTACATCACGATTTCAATATCCCATTTGTTATTGACATCATTCTATCCAGATTTTCAAACTCATTCACCACCCAAAATATCTACTTGATTCTCTATATACCTCTGACCAGCCCTATATTCCTCCTCGAAGGCGATACTGAGACCTCTAGTAAAAATGCTATTAGAATCCTGACTATTCATCATCCCCATTATCTTTACTAAAGAAAATTGCTTAAGTTTTAACAAAATATCCGTTCTGACATTACAGGCGAAAGAAGAATGGGAGGTTGGTACCTATGGGACCTATGCCGCAGTACATTCGTGAAGTGGAGCTGGGTGTGGTGAAGCTGGCCGACGGCTCCAGGCTCAAGACGCAAGTACCCGTCAAACTGAAGAGGAAGCTGCGCCAGCTGCTGTGGGCACTTACCGCCTGCCCGGTGGGCTTCAAGTGGCGCGACTTGGGCGCCAGATTCTGGCCGCGCTGGATCCGGGAGGGGCTCTGCCCCCGTAGCAGCTGCTCGGTGCCCGCGGGCATGAAGTGCCGCCCCCTGGCAGCGCAACACAAGACCCTGCTCCGCTGGCACTGCCGCTCACCGGCCTGCCAATGGATCAAGGTCCAATACCCGGTCGTCGTCCAATGTTCCTGTGCGTGTTCTTCACGCTCTCCTCACTGAGATCGGCCATGTTTTCGTTTCGAGTCAGAGGAGGGTTATTTATTTCTTTGAGTTTTTTTTTTCATTCCCAAGGCGATAAATAATATTTAATGAAAAACAAAAAAAATATAAACCCAAAATGAAGTTACCAACAGAGCAGCGATAATATTGCACTTGTTTACATCATAAAAACACAAATATAAAGAGATTTTAACCATCACATAATACCTAAAACCATTTGCTATAACCAAAGAAAACAAAGTACTGTAGACATACTGTAGACAAAATATCATCGTAATTATAAAAACTGGTAAATCCCATTAAGGCTGTGCATAAAAGTATTCTTTTTTTTTAAATCGGTTGAAATCCAAAATGTACACTTTATTTATGCTATTTTCAATTCAGAATTCATTAAACAGTATTCAAACGCAGCCATCATGAGACTTGTAATGAAATTATTACCAATTTACAACATGATTGATACAAGACAAATTTAATAATACGAATACGAATCACATGCCGTGTGCGTAAATAACTTTAATAATAAATTTACGTTACATTAAGTATTTATTACAATTATGTAAACTTATTTAACTTTTCTATGTATGAAGTATATGTGAATTATTTTCTAGTCAGTAGAACATTAATATTACTATTAATTTGTTTTAGGTCAACAAAATGTATATTAATTTTATTACATTTTATATAAACTGTCATGTTATTGTTTTTTTTAAGTAATATTTTCTTTAACTATTTTACCATTTAAATAAAAGCAAAGCTTCTTTTATAAAATGAGTGTCATACAAATAAATAAATCAGATTAAATTGAACGATGTAATAAATTTATTTCAATTAATATTTTTTTATTTATTTATTCCTCCATTGATTTGTTCAGTTGTTTTTACTTATGATTAATTTTCCCAAAGAAATTTTAATAAAATACCCTTAATCAAAGAATACAAGAAGAACAAATTGATTGCTACTAGAAGAGAGGAATCCTTAAGTGTAATGCACTGGGTTTCTGTACTCCAAAAAACAAAAGTTGTGGTAAATTCCAGATTGTCGCTGCAGAAAATGACAAGTTGAGAGATAACCAATTGCATTATTGTTATTTTCTACACCATTGTAATATAGCACATTGTTATTCGTTTCTGTGCAGCAAAATATAATCATTCATTTTTGGCATAAATGTCGTCGTTCTTTTCGAATTTATCTTCTGATTTAGGACAGATAAAAAGAGGTTTAGCGTCCATTTCTCTACTTTCTCAAAGCTTGCATTTAGTGTTTCCGCAACACCAATAAGATAAAAATGCTTATGGAGATAATCATCTCCATTGTTGTGATCTCTTCCATGATTGGCCCATGTTAGGCCAACTTAGGATTTTGAAGCCTAGCGACGAACTGGCTATGTTGTATGTCCATTGGAATTTATCCTCTATTTTTCAATATTTTTAAGCATTTTCCAACTGATTTTATCTTATAATCAACAAGACAGTCACATTGATGACAGTGAGTGACAAGACAGTCACTGTTTCTTTTAATACCCTAATAAACATGTCGCCTTAATTTTGTTACGGGTTTTGAAAAGTCTTATGTAGGTCTGTAGCTACATTGCAGGAATTGGTGAGCTTTTTGGACTTCTTATCATTAGTTTGAGAGCCTGATTCTGGATATCTAATTTGTTAAGCTAAGAGTTAGATGAAAGAGCATAACATTTCTGTTCCATTTTCCATTTCCGGTCCTACGTAGGCCTTATAGGTTAACGGAAATATTTCCTGATGAGTAACTCTTTTTATTAATTCCATGCACCTTGAAGCTTGGTAAATTCGCTTGGCAATATGTTTGTTCCAGTTTAGCTGGAGAACACATTTTACTCCTACGTACGTTACCTCCTCTACTCGCGTCGCCATCATACACGGATAAATTTAAATAAATAATAATTCACCCTATTTCTTCTAGTGTTATCTAATCTACAAGTTAACTTCAAGGACTCCATGTTACACAATATCAGTTGAAAATTATTGTACTTGATATCGTCTTCTAACTCTGAGAAGTGTGAGGAAAAGAAATAGAGGTGTAAATAATGAAATTAAGAGTGTGAGTGACTGAAAAATAATACTTCACATGTACGTTTCGGAAGTAAGAGCCAAGTAAAATTAAACATCTTTATTCCAAAAGTTAGAAGAACCAAATGTATTCTAGTGCCGAAGGATTTTACGTTTGAAACCATAAGGTCTTTCCTAAATTCAGCATAAATAGCTGTCCTTCTTAACTGGATTCAATTGTTTAATAAAATCTATCAGTGAATTAGTGCTGTTTACTTAAATTTTAGGAAGTCACTCAAATCCTTATGATTTGCTTTAATTGAAAAGATGTATTGTTGAAAAAAAACTTTTAAATTATAAAACAATGAAGTTTAAGAAGAGGCGACATTAAAATAACTTGATGATATGATATCTCTCTGTGGTACTCAACTGACTTTATTTTTTTAATATTATTGATGGTCAAGGAGTTTTTGATGATTATTTCATGATTTTCCTAAAATCATATAGTCCGTGGTACAGAATCCTTTTTATCAAATTATTAACATCCGCATGAAACTTCGTAAATAGCTTCGTCTCATTGTACCCTACAACTATTTTATTTACGAAAATTCTCGGAATTGGGGCATTTTCAATCTGGAGATTAGCAAACTTTATCTATTTAATTAGGTGCTAAAAACTCGTAAATAAACAATCGCTTTCCACTTCCATTGCGAGATAATTTGACCGCAAAATCAAGAAAAAATGTGGCCTTAAAAAATATTGAGCCGTTTAGCGTGACATACACCCCCGAAAATTCAATATAAAGAGGTATTACAGGCCAATAGGCCCAATATTTTTGTAGGCCACCTTTTTCTCGATTTTGTGATCAAATTATCATACGATCCAAGTGGAAAATCATTGAGCATCTACGAGTTTTTAGTACCTAATTAAATAGACAGTTTGCCGATCTCCAGATTGAAAACTCACCAATTCTGAGAATTTTTGTAAAGAAGATATTTATGAAGTTTCAGATGGATGTTAATGATTTATAAAAAATGAGTCTGCACTACGGTAATTAAGGTCTATTATGGAAAGTTGATCGTCAATATGAATTACTTTAACTTTAATTCCTTGTTCTAATACACATCTAAATTGAATAATAAATAGGGTATATACTATAAATTTCAACATCGTCCTGTTCCATTCAAGAATTTAGTATTTCGCCTAAAAGTTGAAAAATATATCTAATTTCAAATCAACACTTGGTAAGATGCAAATATGGAAAATTATTCAAGTGCCAAGATAGGCAAAGATAGTGTTTCGATCTCTTTGGTGCTCTAGCCCTGACAAAATGTTTTTATGGCTTGTGTTGTAGTTTATATGTAATGGTTGGCGCCTCTCAAAGTGCAGATCTGAACTGGTAATGTGTGAAATATTAAGCCTCGATGTTTATGACAGTTCGGTTCATAATGCAGTGTGCGGTGGGCTCAAAAGACTTTATTATGAGAACAAACTATTCGATGTTCTCCTCATTACCAAAGATGATCAAATATCAGCGCATAAGATTGTTCTTGCATCTGCTGCAACCTTTTTCAAGTGAGGATCTGTTGGAAAATGAATTTTCCACTTCTGGGCCTATTAAATAATTATTACTTTTCGTTTTTAGACTCTTTTTTACCTCAGAATTGACTTCAAGGAGTGTATCCTCAGTTGACATATCTTTCTGTGATTCAAAGATATTGAAACAACTAGTTCATTTCATATACACAGGAGAGATAAATGTAAGTTTATCAGCTGAAGTCATTTGAAATTCATTGCATTAATTGACCGAACATTATGTAAAGTTAATGCATAAATTATACACATATTTATTTATTAGTTGCAAATCTTTATTGCTCAAAGATCACTTGCCGGTTTCAAGATCACTTTGGGCACACTGTAGTGGCATCCCGGAAACAACCTGAGTTCATCCAAAAATAAATGACTGATCCTTAACCCTCCCTACCAGATTGTTTACATATAGTCAGGTTAAGTCTGTATAGGTCTCCTTCATGTTCACTGTTTCTATATATAAATAATACCATGAATAGTCTAATTGAAATATTTGCACGGGCATAATCTAGCAATTTATCGCCCTAAAACCCATAGCCTACCTACCTACTTGAAATATTTGCCAGTTGTTTACCTAACTGTACACATTGTCTTAAATTAATAAATATAATTTTTATGTTTCCATCCAACGATCATAAACATCTTTATTCTTTTGGATTATAAGCGCTGTAATGATGGTGTTAGCAATTAAATAATAGCCTGTTTATATTTGAAATTTAGATTAGGTTAAATTTTTGCTATTCTATTACGTAAAGATGCTAATAAAAAAATTATCTTTTGTCAATAAATGAGTTGATATAGCTTGTTTGTCTCGAACAATAATATAATTTTTAAATGCAAAATTAAAATTCCCGCCCCTCCTCTCCTAATGACAGATACGGAAAAAATACAAATATTAATAAAACATTTAAAGAAAAGATTGGTTGGGGTGCTCAGTCAAAAAAATTAAAAATAAATAAATTACATTTATTTTTATTTTTTTCTATATTTCAGACTAAAGTTCAGGGCTAAAAAAAAAACAAAAAATGATAACAATGGGTATGAGAAACTATTAGCATTAATAAGAAAATAACTATATATAGGTGAAAGATATAGTCTAAAAATGTAGGTAGAATAATCTTATAGTAAAATAAACCTAAAGACAATATAAAATAATGATAAAATTAGAGGTAGAAAGTAGCGCTAGTAAATTCATGATTAATGATCTGATTATCAGATTGGTGAGGGGAGATTATTAGATTGGAATCTTTCAAATTATATTTATTTCAATATTCAACTATTATAATAGAGTAAAAATTTATTTCAATATTCAACTATTATAATAGAGTAAAAATTTCACTCTTAAAATGGCTGATAATTCCTTAATTATCTTAAATCCCTAACTATGAATTTTTGCCAAAAAGAAGATAAGATAAGTCTGTTATTTGTAAATACAAATAAGATTGTCAATACTTAGCCACTTTCAGGATTCCATTTACAGAATGATCAAAGTTATCTTGAAACCAATTGACATCTACAAGTAACAATTTTGAACTTCATTTTCATACGAATGTCATGCAATATACTAAAAAACTTGATATCTCTCAAAAATTAAATTTTTTATTGGATTAAATGAACATTTATTTAATCTTTATTTGTTTTGAGAGATGAACACCATACGAATAGAGTCTATTTTTGTATTATAATCATTACTATCCTTATGGTAATATAATATTTTTTCTTTGTAATGCTACATTATACATATTATAAAAGAGTTAAGTATAACTTAGAAATCTTATTTCGTAAAAAGTCAAAATAATACATAATAATTATCAACATATATATATATATATAAAATGCATATAAAATAATTATCAACATCAATATGAAATCTGAAATTGTGATAGAACACAAAAATAACCATAAAACAGTAAATACATTTCATCTTTTACATATTAATGTTAAATAATATTTTAAAATTAAATTAACAGTTTATTTACACATACAAAGGAAACAAGGCCGGAGCAGATAGATTACATGCCGAAATCCAATCTGCATTTTAGCTAAAATATTCAAATGACAATATTTGAGATTACCCCACCAAATCTGTGTAGTTAGATGTATTAGAGATAAAGAAATATAATTTCTCATATCATCTATAGCGGTTGGCTTGAATATTTCCATCCCATTAAGATTTCTCATACCCTGGTAAATTCTCACTCTCAAACAATTGTACATTGTGCACTTGAATAAAACATGATAAAGTGTCTCTTTTTTCTTAGTGTTGCACATTTTTCAGTCAAGTAGTGGAGTGATTTTTATAATTTTATTCTTAACAGGGACTTTAATCATGTATTTTTCCGAGAGGCGGATCTCCATTAATTTAAATGAACTTTTGCTCCAAAGCATAATTTCATTAAATGTGAAGTGGTACAAAAATTAACTGAGATAACAAAAAGGATAATGAGTTAATTATGCCATTATTCTCAACAGATGCTGTCAGGAAATTCATTATTTTAAATTAATTAAAACAGTCGATTTTTAATAATAAATAAAATAAGAATTAAATAATTGAGATTAGATACATTTATGCACCAACGTCAGTGACACAAATAATGCAAGATATATGATGTATTGGGATGCACTGCGTAATGGATACACTGGAAAAGTAATTATTTTTTAATTAATCTGTTGAGCTCAAATCCATATCATTCTAATACCAGGCCCATTAACATTTTAACGACGATGGACTCATATACGAGTCGAGAGCCTGCCTGGCACTTTCTCGTTAAACAACGGTTGCTCAGTGATCAATTCGACTTTTAAACTATCTTCTGGCCTTCTTATAAGGCAGTAGATAATTTGTCTGTGACTGGAGATTATAAGCAAATTTGAACAATGCCTTAAATAAAAATGTATAAGTGGTCTATAGAGATGATGAATTATGTTCCGTCCTCAAGGTATCATCACTTAACTTATGATGACTAACGGTTAATAAGAGAAGGGACTTTTATAAGTTGGCAAAGTTTCTATGTTTTTTTAATGAAAGAGCGAAAGGATTACACAAGAAAATGAAAGGAGAAAAGAAGAAAATTCATCTAAGCCAGACTAATGTTCTTAATTATGTAACTGTTATTATTCTTAGGGGACTGTAGTCCCAGAATAAAGTTATTTTTTCATTCATTAACTATTTTTCTTTACAGTAAAATTGTACATAGATACTTTAAAATTAGGGTCAAGATGATAAAAACAAAAACATTAAATCAGTGTAGATTTCAGTTTAAAAAATATTCTCATTTCCAAGTGTTTTGTGTATAAATAATTTTTTATACTTTTTTATCAAAAACAATTGTCAAATATTTTAATATTAATATATATTGTTCTTTTTAGTTATCTCAAAAGAATATCGTCAGTTTGGTCGAGCTTGAAGATTTCCTCGGTGTTGGTCTGTTACACCATCACCTATCCCATTACATGCTGACTACTATTAACGATTACAATTGTTGGTCATATCATGAGATCGCTGATAGGCATGGTTTCGCTGACGTCTTTGTCAAAGTTGACTGTTACATCAGGAAAAACTTTATTCGGCTCATCTCTACGGGAAAGCCTGAGTTCCTCAACATTTCTCCAGACCAGCTCTTGTCGTTTTTCAGTTCAGACTTTTTAGCAATATCCGACCATGAAAGACTCCTCCTTGTAGGTATCATATTTTATGTCTATATGTATAATACATCATATAAATAATTGTTGTTCATATTTTAATTTCATATAATATCTATGTAATTTAAGTAGAAGGTAACCGGGGAGAGGGTAGAGTCAATATTCATACACATAATTTGTGGGGAATAAAAGTTATTTATTTCAAATTTATTTATTACTAGCTTAGCCATGAGTTGCCGGGGTTTAGTCTGGTTAAATGGAAAATAAAGAAAAGAGGAATCATAATCACACAGTCAACCATCTCCACACCATCAAAAATGTAAATGTTAGATATTGTTCTAAATCTTTAATCTCAGAAAATTCTTCACTATCTGCTTTGATATTCTGACATAATTAGCATTAAAATACCTGTGTGCTTTTATATATAAGTATGTATATAAAAACACTCGCATATTCGGATGCAAAATTGTGTTCAAATTATCAAAGCAATCAGTGAAAAACTTTCAGAGATTTGTGATTCTGAACAAACAAATATTTACATTTTCATATATGTAGATTTTTTTTAAAATTTATTTATTCTCACATATTGTGTGTGTGACCGTTGTGAATGCACCTCTTCTCTCTTTCTCCCCCAACTAATTTATCCTTAAATCAAAACTACAGTCCATAATGGTCATACAAGTATCTATATAAGTAAGTATTCAGAATATGAATGCATGCTCCGACCTATTATATACCAAGAAGACTTGGATAGAATTTGTGACTGGGCGAGAGCTAACAAGTTAAAGTTGAATGCGGAAAAGACGAAGGCAATCTTAATAGGCTCCAATCACCTCCTTAAAACTGTTCCTAGTATTCCAGCTCTGTTCCTTCATGATAATCCCATCAAATCCCACTGTCAAAAACCTTGGAATAACCTTTGATCAAACATTTTCCTGGAAAAACCATGTATCCAATATTTCCCACAGTTCTATTTCCACTCTAAAACGTCTAAATTATTGTTGTCACCTATTTCCATTTGAAACCCGTAGGCTCCTAGTCACTTCCTTAATTTTTCCCCATATTGCTGTTCGGTATAAGGGAGCGTCTCTGGGGATCTCGAGGCGAAACTAAAACTTTTGATAAATTGCTTTGTATGATTCATCTTTGGGATCTCAAGGGACGCCTCTGTTTCCCATTTCTATACAGAGTTGAAGTGGCTTTTTCCTTCCTACCGTCACAAGTATTTCCTGGCACCCTTCATCTTTCAAGTCATCCAATCCCACCGCCCTTCATACATCTCCGAGCTCCTTCAATTTAAATCCTCTGTTCGTTCCCGCAATACTTGTTCCCGGTCTTCTTTATTATTATTATTATTGTTGAAACTGTATTTTAGAGATATACTGCTTAGAATCTTTTATTTTATAACTTTATATTGAGGGGTGGAAGCTAGAGAAGTAGGTCTAGTCCTTTCCGAGGATGTGCCCCCCGGACCATTAAACAGCTGGACTTGGAACCCTGAAACAGTTTAACCATCTACGCTATCTTCTTCGGTTCAAAACCCGTCAACTCCTGGTCTCCTCTCTTGTTTTCCCCCACTTCGACTATGGCTGCATGGTGTATGGTGGACTCTCGGGAAAACTCGAAGCCAAACTTAAACGTCTAATGAATTGCTCAATCCGCTTTATCTTCGGGATCTCAAGGGATACGCATATTACCAAGTTCTACACCAAGTTGAAGTGGCTTTATCCGTCCTACCGCCATCAATATTTTCTGGCTACATTCCTATACCGAGCCATTACAACACTTACAAGTTGTTTCCCTCTGGAACTCTATACCTTCAGATATTCGACACGCAAAATCGATATCCTCTTTCAAATCTCTCCTCTTCGAACACCCACTCCATTCCCAATCCAATTGATCACGAAATGCACTTAAAAACCTAAGCTGTAAAAACCTCAAAGTACACCCAGATACTCTGATTATTTTGTAATTCATCGATATTCCGTTCACTTAATTACTTTCTTTGTATATTTTATATTCACCATTATTTGTATCTTTTCATCATTTATAACTTTATTGTACTCCGAATCAACCTGTAATTATTATTAAATAGTATTTCATGGACACACCAAAATGTTGATACATGTTCTGTATTTGTGACTTGTTCTAAAGGGACACTAGTCCCAGAATAATAAAATTATTTTCATTCATTCATTAAATTGTTTTGCGACAATTGATATCCAAGGCTGATTTTGATTTCAGCGAAATATAAGCTTCAGGTAGAGGAGCTTCTGATCCTCACTCGGTATCCTAGTAAACTGGTGGGGCTGTCACCTTAGTGGTCGTATACCATCACCCCTCTTTAGTGATTCTAGAATGTGAAATATAAGTGACCTTTATTATTACATTATATGATCATTATTTGTTCTTATTAGTTTCTTTAATACTCTTAGATGAAGATTTAGCAATAAGGTACTTACATTAAGGTTTAACAAACTCTCCTTCTAGGGTTAAAGAAACTCTCCTTTACACATCTACAACTATAAGTTTGCTTTGTATCACTATTACATATCCTGTGATTGATGAAAGAATGTGTGAATAAGTCTATTTATAATTATTTAACATTTACACAGTTGGTTTTATTGATGCAGGGACTATGCCAGTGGATGGGCGCTGCACCCGATGATAGACTCGCCTACTTGGAGGAACTGCTCAATCATGTGGATATTGCTAGAATCAGTTGCTGGCGGGGTATGTCAGATCGCTTGGCAGCCTATTTCAATAGCGACTACCAAGCGCCCGTTACCGATTGGGCCGATAGGATCGGCTCGATGAGGGACATGTTAGACAGGAAGACATCTCTCAAAGGAGTCCTAGTGGAGGTTGGTCCATTATAAATTGTGTATTTTTTATTCTTTCAAAGGCTAGTTGCACCAACGCATTTAGTTTAAACTAGCTTTAACAGCGTCTAAGATTAATTTTCACCAAAATTGAGTTTAAACTCTACTGTCCAGCCATGGCTATATTTTGCTTTCAGAGTTACCAGTTTCCGTATGAGTAACCTTTTTCTGTTTTTATTGATATATCTTGTCTAGTATCAGTGTTTATTTGAATTTTCTGTTTAAAAAAAAAAATAAACATGGAATTGATTGATATTGACGACACACTATATATGTGTGAAAAGGAGAGATGAATACAACAAAAGTTTCAAGATGTACAGCAATAAATACTAGCAAAAATGACATGGCTCAAGAAATACAGAGAAGGATCACGGCTGCCAATAGATGTGTCTTTGGACTTGGCTGACACTTTAGAAGTAGGTATCTCTCAAAGAAGACCAAGCTGATTATATACAAGATCCTTGTACGGCCTGTTTTGACATATGGCTCAGAGGTTTGGACGATGACTATAAAAACGATGAGATGAAGCTGAGTGTGTTCGAGGAGTCCTCAGAAGGATTTATGGTCCAGTAAAGAAGGGTGATGTCTGGAGGAAAAGAAAAAATAGGGAGCTCAGTTCTCTTTATACAGACATCGAGGTAGTCATGTATATTAAACTGGCCAGATTAAGGTGGGCAGGGCATGTGGCCAGAATGAGCACCGTTGAAATAGCCAAGAAAATAATGATGGAGGAGCTGCACCTCGCAAGATGGGTAGGAAGGCCGAGGACAAGATGGTTGACGAGACAATGTGGGCTATGACGGGAGACCCTGCTTGGTGCACGGAACTGGAGAGCTGCAGCAGAAGACAGAGCCAACTGGCGGAGGCTCTTGGAGGAGGCCCAGTCTCGGTAACGGGATGTCACGCCACATATGATGATGAGGACAGCAATAAATACAGTCAATTGATGATTTTGAGTGTTTATGTTATTTATTGTTAGGATTCATTGAATAGCTCCTTAGTTCAAGTAAATATACCAATTCCCTGTTGAAAATGTATTTATCGTACTGAAAGATTTTCCAACTGAGGCAAACAACAATGAAACAAGAACCATTCTGCCATTGATTCTGTAAATAGAATTGTATCCATAGTCTTTGGATATACCAAAAATGCGTTATGTACTTCTGTATTTATGTTGATAGATATGTAAATATAAGAAGAGCAGAATAAGATGCTCTTGAGAATCATAAATATAACCTAATCGCCTATAAGCTAATTGACAATTGTGTGTTATCAATTTAATTAATTTCTGTTTTATTTTGTTAATTAAGCAATACGTTAGTTTTATTCCCAAGTCTTGCTTTGTTTTGCTGAGGTTAATTATATAAATATTTTAAATTATCGTTAGTTAAAAATAGCTTATAAAATATATTACCTTAATTCTATAATATAAAATGAATATATTAGTCGTATTTAAAAAAAATATTATTATAAGATATCCATGGAAAATAAATTACTTTGAATAACAATAAACAAAAATACAATAGATAGCTTAATCTCATTTTAGTTTATTTATTTATTTACGTTTATTTAAACGTTATACCAACAACAAGCAGCAGAAATAAAAGAGTCAAATTGTTACCAGTAGATTAAACTGAGATAACCGAATCTTGATTAAAACCGTGTCTAGTGCAACTGGCTCTAATTGTGATTTTTATTAAATTTTACTGATAATGTGCTTCATTTGTGGTGTTTGATGAACTAAAGATATGTGAGTAGGGCGTACAATCCTATGTCACACCCTTCAGCAAGTCTGGATGGCACCTCTCATTGTTGGTCAGCGAGTCCATCGGACTTAGCTGGGAGGAATTTCTACCGACCACTCCCTCATTTGTCACCCATGGGTTGCTCCCCACAGGCAGGTTTTATTTTTCTGCTACAAAACTACTTAGCTCGCCCCTCTTGTCCCTGAATTTAAAAACTGGAATCTATAAAACCATTATCTTATCTATAGTTCTTTATGGATGTGAGGCGTGGCTGCTTATACTAAGGGAGATGAACGTGTTAAGGTTTTTGAAAAGTATTGCATAGAATATTCGGACCGAAGAAGGATGAGTTTAACCGGAGAATTTAGACTGTTAAACAACGTCGGATTGTGTGAGCTGTATCCGGTTAATATAATTGAGGTGATTACATCGCGGCAAATCAAATTGGCTTGTAAAATAAAACAACTTTCTCTTTAATATTGTAACATCCCTCTTATATTTGACAAATAATAATAATATAACATCAGAAGATCACTTTATACCCTTAGGATACTTATACCAATACTTATACTTATACCGAAAGAAATAAGAGGTTGTTAAATATAAAACAAAATTATAATAGTATTAATATATTTATTTATCTCAGGTGTGGGTTACTGACAATCAGATCAACTCAGACAAACTATTATTATTTACACTGATTTTAAAATAAAGTCAAATATTAATTGGCAAGCTAACCTTTTTTCTACATACAATGTTTCTTCCTTTGTGGCACTGAACTCATTTCTCTTCACACATTTTCTTATGTTCTGCCGAACACATATCCCAAAATGGTAACACTATTCTTCCACTCAACTCGAGCTCTCTGGGAAATCCTCTCTCTTGCAATTCCAAACATCTATTCTCCTTGCCAGACAAGATCTTCTAAGATGGTAAAACTATTACTGGGTTTTACCCACTGGAGCCAAGGTAGGATAGCTTCTCTTAACCTCTCTTCACTGCAGTCACACAACAACTGCTTGCCAAAACAAAAACCATTGTCCCTCTCCTCTTTGGGATTTTCCTTGTTGGGAAATTACAGAGTAGCCATTTTCTTTTCTCTGCACAAGTAGAACTAGATTAGCTTGCCTTTTAATTGTTCAACATTAATTTATTAAATCATTTTTACCCACTTCCAAAAAAGGTATATATTACAATATATTTATGATCTCGGTGGAAAAATATATTTATTTTTTCCTATTTACTGCTGGATTATCCAAAGAGCCGGTTAAGTGGGGTTTTATTGTACATATAAACCAAGTATTCAATTTGCTGTAATTCTTATACTTATATGTTTCTTAAGTCATCGTTTCTTCTGCAGGTGATTCTGTTGATTGGTGGAATGATGGGAGGATCCGTCGTACCATCAGTGGATACGTTCATCCCTCCGATTCTTTTATCCCGTGTTCTACCATTATCAGTTGATCACAAGAGGTTTCTGATCATTCCTCCGATGTTTGAAAGGAGGTACAAACCGACTGCTGCTGCTTCTGAGAAAGCTGTTTATGTCATAGGTCTATAATATACTTAGATAATAATCAGTTATTAAAATTATTGCTATATTATTTGCAATAGTGAATGCTAATTTAAGATTTTAGAATATATTGTGATTTTTCAGGTGTTCAGGTCACTCAAGGTCCCAGGTTCGAATCCCGGCTCATGGCAGAAAAATTATTTATTCTGTTTCATCAGTGCTGTGGGGCGAACCTGGGGTAAGGAGACCCTCCTGGGGCACAGCTAGCCTCTATAAAGTGGGTACCCTTTATTAATTAAAGGGGAAAACCTGGCGGTTAAGTGTGATATCAGTCAAATCATCTCCTTGCTCAACCGTTGACTAAGAAACAGTACTTTCTCTAAAGAGTACTGAACTCAAGACCTTTCATGTAATGATACAGGCTTTTTTAATTGAAAATTACTGATTTGTAACGTTTACTTAGTAATAATGTTATAGAGGTAAATCATACAATTTGTGATAAATACTTCATGCATTATGTTCCTAAACAGATAGCATGGATCTTGAGTGAATGATCCCATGTGCTAATGTGCTAAAGTTTTTATTTAAGCCAGAGGTCTCCTAACTACGTCTCAGTGGCCGATTCATGCCCACAAGCACCTATGTGTCCTACAAAAGTTGCTTTGGTTATGTGGTACAATTTTAAAAACTATTTTCAAAATATGAAATTTAGCAAATTGCTCACACACGAGGTTACTATAACAATGATTTCATGGTTTTTTTTTCTCTCTTAGAAAGTTCATTTCACAATTGGAGTGTCATTTATAGAACAAGATTTTTTTTTTCATCAGAAGCCATGTCCCACGAGACTTGGTTGTAGGACTCAATGCGACCCGCGGGACTTAAAGGAGGTCTCAATGTGGCCCACGGGCCAAAATGTTTGGAGACTCCTGATTTAATCTATACATAGTAAGTTAAATCAGCTCCCAATAATTTGGGTTCCATCAAAAATATTTATTTTGAACACCACCACTCACCTTATTTTACATTCCATTTCAATTAACATGTTTGGTGCCGAATGACATTTTTAAAAAGCGGATCCACCATGCCCATTCCCAAAGATACCTTCAAAGAACATGAAAATGCTACAAGTTTGGTCTTATCTGGTGTGGATAAAACAAAAATATTCTATGAATTAACTTGTAGCTGGTACCTACAATATAACTTTGACCTATGAGATAACTTACTGTTGGCAGCAACATGTTAAAATAAAATAATAAACAGAAGATTAAAACCTCGTCATAACTTTCCCTGCGAAGTTTTACCAGATTTAACTGATCTCAGACCGGTTTAAAATTGAGTTTATTAGTGGACATTTAACCACAAATCTTACACAATTTTCTCTATTTCATTTAAGAGGCTTATGATATTTGTCACTTGTTACATAAATACCCCTAATATTTGGTGCCAAAATAGGACAAACTATAACTATTGAAATATATTGTCTAAATTGTAGGTGGAACGCATAACCACGAAGAGCTGAAAACCAATGGTATCTCATGTGAGGTATATAAACTAAAGGAAAACAAATGGAACCTGTTACCAAATCTTCCACAGAGCAAAACATTGAAGATTTCTAGCAATAGGAGGCCGCCGGCTGCATTTGTCGAGGGTAATCTCTATGTTGCTTTGCCATCGCCTAAGCCTTCCTTCTGGGTTTGTCATTATTATTATTATCTCTTTGTCAATATAATTCATTATCGCATTGTTAATATATTTATCAATATAACCTCTTTCTCTTGTAATGAGCAATTTCGAGCTTTACCACTTAATGATAATTTAAATTATACATCACATCATTTGAAATAGGAAATGTTTTAAATAGATGCTTTCTCGTAATGAGAAGTATTGGATGCAGCTTCAACCGCCAAAGAGCTATGAAGTGTATGACCTTGTAAGCTGTTGCTCCGCAGTCTATTGTATCGGGAGGCAGTTCGAGGAGTCATTATGTAACATAAATATGTAGAATGGTTTGTATTTGTTGTACTTACGCTCAGTAGGTGATATTTTAATATCATTATTTATCTTCAGGTTACCTGCTGGAGAGATACGATGCCTACTCTGATAGTTGGGTCGAAGTGAGCGTGTTTTCTATACAGAGTTCCCAACAACACTTGAAAGGCGTCTGTATCGATTCATGGGTGTGTATTGCATCCTGTCAGGAATGGCTCAGGTATAATGACGTCTGGATAGTGTAAAATAATTTTATACTACACATTAATTTAGTCGTAAATCATATATATAAAAATTGTAACTATTTTCAAAACCATCGATTATCTAGATCTAAACTTGGCGTTGCTATTCTCCCGACAAAATACAATTGAAAATTTTGTCACTCACCCAGAACTGTCTGTCGAAAGCATAATCTCTTCTTAGTGATGCTCCAACCATAGTACAACTTTCTTTTTAATGTTCCACCAAACCAAACTCCTCACCACTTGCGACCTCTATCGACTCCTGGACCAGCATGTACTCGTTCAAACCTTCACTATTTGGTCTATCTACTCTTGGACCGCCATGTACTAGTTAATACCTTCACTATTCGCCGACTGGTTACCGTTTGCTCAAGCACATGGTTCTCCCCTCCACCATTATTGCTCTGTCTCATTTTCAATTTCTAGAAAATAGTTCATGATGACATAATTTTTCTTCGCATTATTCTTTAAACCCGTATATCTTGACCAATTATGTACAAATATTAATTATTCATACCCTACTATATAATGGTATATTGACAGCCACACTGCAAAAGCCTGTAAGAACAAAAACTAAAAATTTTCAGGAGACAAAAAAACTACATAATTTTTGTTCTATGAGCATTATATTTTTGGTTCAATTATTTTTTGCAGGCCTACTGAGACAAAAATGTAATGCTCTATGTAACTTTTTTGACCATATTTCTGCCAAATAACTTTTAGAGCAATTACTTCTAACTTATAGCTTTTTTGTTACTCAGAAACACAGGTATTAGTTAGGTAAAGCAATCAAATTTATTGAAGAAACACCCATAACTTTGTTAATAATGATCAAACCATGACAAAAACAAACCCTGTTTCCAAAATGAAGAGCAATGATACGTCAAATTGTATAGATTCATTGGTTTGAAAAGATGAAACTAGAGTTCTTTTTTCGTCTCGTGTTAAATTTTCCAAATTATGGAATCAATTCTTTGTCTCTCACTATCTGGAATTTAGCAGTATTGTAGCTTTTTTTTTAATCAAGCTCATTTTGCAGTTGTAAGAAGGTTTCGATTGTTTTGAAGGCCGTTCAGTATTATGTTCCCTCTTACCATTCTCTTCTTTGCTTTGTCTAGTTCCATTGTAGCCAGTGCCGCCCTCAGAGCAGGGTACTCAAGCATTTTGTTGTCACCATGTTGAAGTAACGATTGTGAGCCTGTTTAACATAAAATCAGAGCTTTATTTGTCGAGTATCAACTTTTACCTTCTTTCAGTTTATGAAAATAAAATAAAAGCGATAATAATAAATTACTAAAAGTTTAGTTTTATAAAATAAAGAATCCTAATCAAGCTTAAAAAATGCTTCTTCTAAAATATTTTATTTGTTATTTAAAAATACTGTTTTTTGTTTGTTTTTTTACTCAAGTCATTTTGTAGTCAATTTCCTTTCATGTATAATAAAGAAAGTTAGTTATAAATTATACATTTTTAATATTTGTGTCTCCAGACATATTGGTCAGAGAAAACTATCATTAAAAAAGGAAATGTCAGGGAATTTCTAATTTAACTGTCTGGTAGCCACCCTGTCATGGTAAAAAAAAAAAGTTGCAAATGATTTTAGCGAATGAGACAAATACAAATGAGAGAGCGAATGATTTTAAGAGCAGTGTCGCCATTGGCCTAGGCCAGCTGGATCAGGCAACGCTATCTGAATCCATCGTTTCTTCCCAAGCTTTTATGTATTTGAAGGGGAGTATAGTGATGTATTAATGTAATTGATTGATTATAGGAAGTTACAATGGATTAGTTATGAATGATTGATATAATGATTTATTAAAGGATCTTTCAAATTAAACTTAAAGCAAAATCTATTTTTTGTAAAACATTGCCCATATCAAACAAAAAAAAAAGACAAATTTTGTTAATTGTCAATTTATAAAAACTTCATCAGACTATCAAAATAAATCTAATAAAAGTCATATTAACCAATCAGATAATACTACAAATTGTCAATCTGAGTTATTGTTGTTTTGAAAATTTTTTATTGTTTTTTGTTTATTTAAGATAAAAATTTATGCATTTCCATTTTTTTGGATGATAAATATTCAGGACACAGTCATTTAAAATTTTTTATCTGTGCCAACGTTTCAACCCAAACATGTGGGTCATCTTCAGGGCTGAAAATTTTAAAATACAATCAGAGATATAATATTATACGACTGATAATGGTAAATTTGATGGTACATGAATCTTAATTATTATTACAATACACAATATTAAAAATGAAATATGTAAAAAGTTATACAAACTAAAAATAATATATATAATCTATTTATAAAAAAATTGTAATATTTTCTCTTACTAACCGTGGTTCAAGCACTGAAGGCTTTCAAGTACTGACACATTTGGTAGGTAAGTGAAAAGGTCAGGGGGGAGGATTTCCCAGTTGTCCTGTTTCAGATAGCAAAAGGTAGGTAAACATAGTCAGAGGGGAAGGGGGGTAACATTTCTGTTAGTAGAATGTGAATAATTTGCTGACTAAATATTTTAGATGTGTACAAGATTTGTGTTGTTTCTTACAGCACCGCGAGTTGTCCGGCAACCAGATGATCTGAATAATAGATTAAAAAAGTACGAGTTTGTGTCCCGGTGCCAGAGGGAATTTTCGAGGGCGGGGTGGCCAAATGGGCTAACGCGTGTGCACTGCACCGCCGTTACCCGGCAACCAGATATATGATTCTATGATATGAAAATAGTCACGAGTTCGCGTCCCGGTGCCAGAGGGAATTTTAAATTCCCCGCCCTCACCCTCTGGTCTGAGAAAATCCCGTATAGCCTAAAAGGCGAGGTAGGGAAGAACAGGGAAAAAAAAAGAAAAAAAGAATGATTACAAAACTGTGAATATTGGCAAGTAATGAAATGAACATAACATAAGTGGGAAAGCCTTCAGTGCTCGAAACACGGTTAGTAAGAGAAAATATTACAAATTTTTATAAATAGATTATATATATCATTTTTAGTTTGTATAACTTTTTACATATTTCAATTTTAATATTGTAATAATAGTTAATATTTAATAATAATATTTAAAATTGTAATAATAGTTAAGATTCATCTACCATCAAATCACTATAGTTTATTATTTACCATTATCAGTTGTATAATATTATATCTCTAATTGTATTTTAAGATTTTCAGCCCTGAAGATGACCCACATGTTCGTGTTGAAACGTTGACACAAATAAAAAATTAAAATTTTTTTTTTGAAAGACTGCATCCTGAATATTTATCATCCATGATATGTAGAACAGTCGAATAGCTTCTTTCAACATTTCCATTTTTGTTTAATAATTTTTTTATTGCTAGATATGAGCCTTCGAGTGGTCGTTGGGAAAAAATGAAGATCGCGTTAAGCGAGAGTGAAACAATACCTTCATTCTGCACGTATAAAGATAAACAGGTAGCAATTAATTCGTCAAGTTAAATGTTTATATATCTCATATCAAAGAATCAGGTAGATTTTGTTTGTGAAGAGAAGCATTGAAATTTTTAAAAATATATTCAAACTTCAAATAAATTTTCTGAAATTATTTCAAATTCAAATTTTAAAAAGATCATATTTGCTCAAATATAAATAGATACTGAATATAAGTTGATCCTTCATTTTTAGAATAATTTTCTGAAAAATAATATGTGAGATAGGAAAAAATTATAACTAATAAGATATCAAATTTAAAATTCAATAATGGCAGTCAATGTTTTATATCATTCTGCTTTAAGTCATTATGAAGTTATGTTCTAAATCAATTACAGTAGAATCCTGATAATTCCTATTATGAAGGAACCGAAAGTAAAATATGATTTATCAAGATTTCCAATGATAAGGAGTAAAAATAAAGAATTCAAAATAGCAAAATTAATAGAAAAATTTGGTACTATGTATGTACAAAGGATTTTTTATTGGCACGATAAGGTGATTGTAATAGATTTTACGTTTTTAAAACATCGAGGTTTTACAGACTTACCCTATCTTGAGTGTTGTTAATTTTTACAGATCCATCCATCTTGGCTAACAATATGGTTACACGTTGTTTACTTTTACATTTATTTTTTTCTGCCAGGACATTTTTCTTCTTTGAAACACATAGAACAATCGGAGAGGCATTTGCAAAATAAACCTGTCTCGTCTGTATTCAAAATGTTTCTAGATTCATAAGGAGCGATCATATCTCCCTACTTATCTTTCCATTTACAATAAACTTCACTGAAGACTCTCGCACTTTTTCCACTAAGTTTCTTAAATTTTATATTGTCTTTTTTTTCTATTTAATCATTGTTTTAAATAGGTACTCATCTGACTCAAAACTCTTTAATTTACCAGTTGTAGCCTAAGAATCAATTTTATCATTGTTTCTTTAAATTTTTGTTATTTTCGACAGAGGAACATTAAAACGTTTGTACACAAATTGTTTTTCACCATTGGTCACGGCTCTAATATTTTGTTTTTCCTTAGTGGAAAAAAAATTAGACCTCAGAGATATTTTCAAAGACAAACTGAAACATAACCTCACATTTGAGGAAAAGAGATCGCTTGGAATAAAAAAAAAAAGTAAACTAGTGGAAATTCATAGAAATGGTAATCTATCATTTAATCTCCTCTCCTCTTAAAAGGATTAAGAACCAACCATATATATTTTTTTTAAAACTCAAAATATAAGACCTTAAAAATACTAAGACGATAAAAAATAATACAAATTATCGAGGGGACCAAATTACATTGATTTTATATGAATTAGAGGGAACATTTCAAGGGACTGATGAATCCATTTGCATTGGGATACGAATTATTGGAATTCTACTGTATTACTAGCAATTCACCTAAAATCATGATATTGTTATTATTGTTAGTGGACTTATTCCCAGAATAAAATAATTTTTAATTTTATTTCATTATTGCATTGAAAAAGTGTTATATATTTTTAAATTACTTTTTTCCAGGTTATAAGCTTGAAAGACGTGCCTTGCTTAGAAGTGGCTTCTTCAAATGGAACGTCCGAATTTTACCTCCCTGGAAGGAGTTGTTCAGCACTCGCATCCTTAATGGTCCCGGTTTACGGGCGAGAACCGATATAGAAATTGTTTGACACGCTTATTGATACCACTAATAGATTTAATTGTTCCCTAAAGAAAAACAAAAATTAATTTATTATTGAGAAAAGTAAGATCTGTGTGGATTCTTGTTAGATACTTATTGGTAAGTAGAATAATCATTGATTAATTACGTAAGGGGTTATTCCTCTGTAAAAGAAAAAAAAGAGGAATTAATTTTCAAATTAAAATGTGATGACTAATTTGAATGTAAATATGAAGATATGAATATATTTAAATATAATAGTAGAAATGATGAGACTAATTTGAAGTTTTTTTTTATTCATCCCTTATTTTCGCCTCTTTCCTGCTTCTTTCGAAATCGTTCCATAGTAGTTTGGCATGTGGTCCTGTTGCATGCTTTCTGTTGCCTGTTTCCACTTTCGATTTAACATTAATGGATCTTGTTTCTTAGTAGATGAAGAATTGAGTACTCTAAGCCCATTGGCTGTGATCGTCCTTCACGAAGACGATGTAGAAGTCGTTCTCAAAGAAGTCAAGAAGGAAAAGGTTGACGAAGATGAAGATACCAGCAATGTTGAGATAGAGCATCATCATATCCAGTCGACGATAATCTGTCATTCTTGTGGTGCCGAATTTGCTGAGGAAACTGAATTGGAAAAACACAGGTATATTGGATATCTTTTTGATTATTCACCTTCATTTGTATAATTAATATGAAGTAATTTGTCTTACCACCGATAATTAACAAAGTATCGGTTTTCCTATGTACAGCGTGTCTAAGATAGCCCGTTTCTCCCCTCCCCTTTAATGTTTATTATACAAAGAAATTTGAACAATCATAGTCGGGTACTTGTATAAATTTTCAATTTTTAAATGTTGAAGATTAGATAATAAAAAAAACAAAACCAAAAAGCTCTAATTTTTCTGATTCATATGCACAAAAATTCTCAGAAGGGAACGTTTTAAATCTAGAGATCGGTTTGTAAATAACCTACAGGAAGTTAAATGTAAATGATTCGTTTTGGCGGGAATAGTGAATAGCCTTCCGCTTTTATATCAGGGATTGAGGTTATTTACACTCGTGAATTATTAAAACAAAACCCCGGCGCTGGATATAGACCTTTTTGAGGGTGTTTAACTGTTGTTGGGAATTCGGGAATCTAATACCTTTTGTGACATTGTGTGAGAAGAAACAATAAGAACACATATATGAAATGTGGGACTTAGTAAACACTTTGAATGAATTGACTCACCTGGTTTATTCTTCAATTGTGAGGCCTATAGGACAACTAAATAAAAGGACTATTCACTCCGGTATAATAAAACAATTTATTTTGACAACTGATATAAGTGAATTTATATATATAAGTGAACGGCCGGCTTGATAATCTTGGTCTTCAATAAGGGAGTTTATATAAAATGAGATTAGATAAGAAGGGAGGTTTCGATGCTACCCGCTATTAAATAAGTACCATTAATTATTTTAAATTAAGTTTGATGGTATTATTATTTCTTTTCAAATGTCTCTAATATATGTCCTTTCTTGTACATGTAGTTCTAGCTGTAAGACGAACCTGGAGTACGAATGTGCGTTTTGTGCGGCCTCTTTCCTCTCAGAACCCGGGTTGAGGGCACATGTCAGAATTCATGCGGATGGTAGCACCTGTGAAAAATGTGGCAAGCATTTCAGGTAGAAATTTTAATAATTAATATTTTTTTCTCCAATCTTTATTTAATCCTATGTTTTTATTTATTTTAGTATTTGATTTTTTTTGTTAAATTTAATTTTATTCAAGTATTAGATTTAGTTCACTGAAAAGGGATTGATAGGTGATAGGGATGAGTGATGACAAAATTAAGAAACAACGGATTATTTAGTAGTATAATAATAATACTGTAGTGATAGGGGCTGGGTGGCCTAGTCGGCTAACATGTGTACACAGCACTGCATGTTGCCTGGTAACCTGCTAACTGGAGTTGTAAATGAAAAATAACTACGAGTTCATGTCCTGGGTGAGGGGTCTTTTAACTCTGGCATTAATCTCCTGCTCTCCCCCCCCTGGTGCGGGAACACTCCTTATAGCCTAAAAGGCGAGGAAGGGGTGAAAAAAAAAATATTGTAGTGATTCAATAAAACTTTGGTATTTTCTAAATTTAGAAATAATAATGCTATAATATGATAAGAAGCTTATCGGGGAGTGCGGTCAGTGTTACAATACTATATATTTAAGCAGTATTTAATTGCATTTGGTAACATTTCGATCTATGGTGTAGGTCTTCATCAGGACTAAAGAACATGGTACATGCAAAATATTGATTAATACAAAGTAAAAATAAATAAAATATCAAGGAAGGAGATGGTCTGGGTTGGCGGTCATAAATAGACTAAATAGTGGTAAAACTATTTTATTAAAAGCCAATGTTTCGACCCGACTTCTTCAGGACTAGAACGGACAAGATACAAAAAGATATAAAGAATTGTGGAAGTTACATCATATTTAGATATAAAATTATAAACAATGTGAATAAACTTATTAAAATTATTAACAGTTAGTACATTAAAATATTAAGAACAATAAGTTGTATAAACAGAGTAAGCTAAGTAACAAGATCCTAAACTGAAGTAAATAGATGATAACAATGGTTGTAGTGTAATATAAAATATAATATATGCAAATGTGAATATAATTCTACAGATCTACAGGAGAGATTGGAAGAAAAGGCAAAAGGATATAATATGCAATAATAGACATAAAAAAATGTTGAGAAAGAAAAGAAAAAAGAAGAAGAAAAACAAAAAATAAATAACTAAGAAAAGAAAATTAGAAGAATAAAAATAGAGACCTAGAGGTGTGTTCAGCAAAGAGTTTCACTTAAAACTGGAAAGCCTGGGTAAGTACCCTTGGGTAATTTGCTGACCTGATTGGGGAATGTTGAGGTGGTAAGTTGTAAAAGTAAAACCTGGAATATTAAAGTATCTGAAATTTGAAGATATGGATGGATACAAGGAAAAATACTATATCTATGAACTAATAAATTATAAATATATACATATACAATAGAATTAAGAAATTATAGATAGAAGTACAATGTGAATAACGACAAAAATGAAAGAAGTAAATATGTAAATAATAAGTATGTCAATGTATAGTGCGCAGAGGATACATTAACCAGAAGGCTTCGGCAGAGCGTCTTCAATGTAGAGGGTAAGATGAGTAAGTGGATGAAGGAAGATGAATAGAAGGATGACCTTAAGTGTCAGATGGATCAGCACCCGATCACTCTTGGTCTGCAGTGTAAGGGATCAACCTTAACACTCCGCAAGGATGGTAACCACAACCGGTGGGATCGATCTCCAGACCTGCGGGAGGATGACGTACTAACGGAGCGATCAATCTCCTGACTTAGCATCCAAACTTGCATGGAGTAAGGGCAGAGGATAAAAAGTTAATGGACATAGTGAAATAAAAAGCAGTTCGTTGAAGACCAAAACGGGTATATGTTTCATATACTGACCAAATGCCTAGAGGTCTATACTCTATATATTCTATATTCTGGAATCACCATATCTCTCATATATCCCGCCGTGAAATTTCTACCCTCAAACTATTCCATCACTTCCGCCATCTTCTATCCCAAAATACCCGTAGACTCCTAGTTTTCTCTCTCATCTTTCCCCACTTTGACTACATCTGTGTGGTGTACGATGGCCTCTCGGTGAAACTCCGTGATAGACTCAAAAGACTTATGAATAGCTTGTAAGATTTGTAATTAGGACCCCGAGACGCTCCCGTGTCTCACACCACTACACTGAGTTAGGGTGGCTCTTCCCCTCTTAAGAAGACAATATTTCCTAGGCACTTTCCTTTATCAAATCATTACCGATCATCGTCCTTCTTATGCCTACAACCTTCTCCAATTTAAGTTCTCAATCCATTCCCTCACTACAAGATCCTGACCCTCTGACCTGTACATCCCTTCTCATAGATCTGCCTCATTCCAAAATTCCTTTATAGTCCGCTCTGTCAACTTTTGGAATTCCCTCCCGATCAAAATTCGACATGCCCCTTCCCTATACACATTCAAAAACCTCCTATTCCAATTCCTGTTCCAAAAACAGTCAGATACCAGCTAACTATTAATATTATATATGTATTGAGTAGCAATCATATAATCATAATACTTGATAAGAGATATTACATGCATTTCCTACTATCGACATAGGAATTTCAATACATACATTTTTTTTAATTCAATCATAATTAACTGTTTATTTTTATATATATATTCAAGTAAAGTTTTTTTTTTTTTTTTATTTTATGAAATGAACTCATTGCATCTCTTTTTCGTTCTTCTTTCCTCAAAGGGTATGCTTATGTTGTTCAACCCTTATATATAATTTTGTTCATAGTTCAAGTGATTCGTTCATAGTTTTAATTGTTTTGTTCATAATTTTAAATGCTCTGTACATAGTCTTATCTGTATTGTATATAGCTTGTGCACCTATGGTTTTCTTTACTTTTTATTTTATTTTATCAATTTTATTTATTGTTTCAAACGTTTAGGCCAGTAATATTCTATTATTTTGTACATTATTGTTATTCTGAAGGGACTTAGTCCCAGAATAAAGTTTTTTTTTCTATCTATCTTATCTATATAGAATCAAAGAATATGCAAATTAAAATTAATAATAAAAGTCTAACATACCATTTAATCATAGTTTTATTAATAATTTTAAAAATTGCTAATATTTGTTAGGCACATAATCAACTTGGAGACGCATCAGAGGGAGGAATGTGGCAAAGAACCGACCCTGAAGTGCTCCCTGTGCGACGAGCGGTTCCACTTCAAGCCTCAGCTCAACGCTCACCTCATCGACTTCCACAGCAAGGCGAAGCTTGGCAGTCCGCAGCGAAAATCCTCTCAATCACAATTACCTGAGGAACAGTGAGTCATCTTAGGAATCGTATCTTTACAAAATTAGTTTATTAAAGTTCATAATCAGAATATTTTTTGGATTTCTTCTCATTATTTCTTTTATAGGGAAGCTTTTTATTATATAGATGAATTTGACAATCATAGCTTCCTCGTGACTGTTTAATTATTTATTTCTTACATTGTTAATGTTTCTGGAAATAAGCTGGATTTAAGAGAAATAGCTTAGTACTTTGTATCTTCCCTTCCTCCTATATACTGTTTGCCTTCTAATGTGGTTAAGTGTAGTCAGTTTATTATGTTTTAATCTTATGCCCAATTAATATGTGGCTAGGTTTCTGCTGTCTGTTTTGTAATTTACTCTTTTTTTTTTTTAGTGATATCCTAATCCTGCCATAAATATTGTTACAAGGAAATATATACAGATTTCAACAGAAAAATTAACTTTTTCAAAACTTTATTAGAATATAAAATGTATATCTTAAAAGAGAGTAAAACATAAAGGAAATTACTCAAAATGTCCCCCTTTTGCCTCGACACAGGCATTTAATCTTCGTGGCCTGTCATCAATAGCAGCTCGCAGCACTTCTTGAGGAAAGCGCTCAACTGCTCGGACCAGAGATTGTTTAAGGCTTTCCAAGTTAGGGTGTGCTCTGTGGCATGCCATCCTCTCCAGTTAGGACCAAAGCCGATGATCTAGTGGATTGAGATCAGGACTTCCTGAGGGGTCAATCCAAGGCAGAGATGTACTCTGGATTGTTCTTTTGCAGCCACTGCTGAGTTGACTTGGCCTTGTGAGCTGGAGCGGAATCCTGCTGGAAAACTCAATGACTTCCAGCATACAGATTATCATTTAGAGGCTTGAAAAAAGGTTAAAAAATATTTTCCTGATATTTTTAGCGGCTGTTTTAACTCCTTTTTCATAAAAATGGAGCTTTGTGGTGTCTTCAAAGCAAACTCCCCTCCAAACCACTACTGAAGAAGAGTGATGACCTCTTTCCACTCTTCCAATGACTTCCTGGGCTTCTTTAGAGCTATTGTGTGTGCACACAATCATCTTGGCAATTCAATTTTTCATCAATTGTAAAAATTTTCTCATCGCTAAACAAAATCTTTCGGTGAATACTATTGGTGTAACGGCCAAGAAGCACTTTGCATCTATCCACTCTAATTTTTTTTTAGGGAAGTTCCTATGTCCTGTCATTCTTCGAAACGCAGCCATCCTTAGGTCACTTTTTATTATGTGAGACATTGATCTGATAGAGATTCCCATTGCCTCAGGCATGATTTGTTGATATATTTTGTTCAAAAATATATGATGAGGTAAACAAAGACAAAAATATAAAAATTAAAATTTTTTGAATTTTTCATCCATATTTATTTAATATGCAAAACCTGAAAATTTTGTATGAGTATATATTGTTAATCGCTCTTATGATTTATACTATTAGGTTTGAGTTGGATATAGATGGATTAAGCAATAAAGCCTTTTTTAATGGTTTCCGAATCCATTAATATCCATCTCGAAACTAATCCCATCAATCACACTTCAGACTAATACTTCATATCCCTTGAATATTCCCAGGTTTCGCCTTTTATTTGATCTAAATTTACAGTTTTTATTCAGATTTATTTGGATTTTACAGGTATCCGTGCAAATTGTGCCCCAGATCGTTCACTAGAGTCGGATCTCTCAATTATCACCTTTCGAGGAAACACTCAGGCGATAACAAGCGTAGTGCTGAAGAATTCCCTTACCTCTGCCCTACCTGTGGCAACAGATATAAGTCAAGTACCCAGCTCTGCAGGCATCGCAGGTATTCTATATTTGTTGTTTTGAGATATTATTATTAATCCATATTTGAAATATTATGATAAGCTCTTTATTAATTTCATTTGTTCTTGTTTGATTGTTACATTATATTTGTTTTTTTAAAATAATTGTTTCCTAAGTGCTAACCAGCCAGGGTGTGTGGGCGGGGATTTAAAAGACTCCTCCGGCACCAGGACGTGAACTCGTGGCTATTTTACATCAATTGTCTCATATAACAGGTTGCGGGACAACGGTGGTGTTGTGCACATGCGTTAGCCCATTTGGCCTCCCTACCCACGTTCTGTAGGAGGGTGGTCTGATTAGTGTCGCACGGTATTACTTTTTTCGTTTGCTTCCTTGCATTCATTGACGAACCACTCATTTCTTCTTCTAGGTTCAATGTTTCCAAGCCTTTCCTGCAGCTGCGGTTGAGATTATCCCCTCTAGTTTGTTCCACTTTTCATCAATAGTAGAGCCTTCATCCATCTCCAGGTGATATTCCTGCATTTTCCTGTCTATATTTCCTCAAAACTGGACTGTCGTTTCTTCCTTCTTTAGCTTTTCTGTATCCCACTTTGTCTTAGTTGGGTAGTGAGATATCTTCTATGTCCTTATTCTCATTTTAAATTTCATTAGTACGGGGTAATGATTTGAATCAATGCAAGGTCCCCTGTAGCTTCTGACATCCTTTGTACAGCTGCGATCTATTTATTCTATTTATGTCAAATAAAAGTATTTTTGTTGTTATTACATTTGTTTTTGTATCTGTTTACACTTTCAATAATAAGAATTTAATACAATAATACGAAGATGTGAAGTAGGAGAAGGCTTGTCACTGCGTTATGGGAGTTATCAGTGTTCAGGTTATAAACATTGCCAGATAGCAGTCAGTAGCGGCCGCTTAGACAAAAAGTACCGAATATTCTTATGTGGGAATATAGAGCTCATTATTGTTGACATCTTGGAAGCTGCGAACTGGACTAATCTTTCTCCATTGTCATTAGTGGTGTTATGTAGGCTATGCATTTCTAGACCTCTTCCTTCCCGATTTTGTCGTTAAAATCGCCCGCTATGATCTTGACGTTGTAACGGGGACAGGAGTCATAGACCCTCTCCAACTTTGCGTATAACTCTTCCTTCTGATGGCGCTTGTACATTAATTATAGTTAGGTTAAACAGGCTCCCACGCAGCCTTATTTTACAGATACGGTTGTCTATCATTTCAAAGCTCATTACCTCACTACTGCATCTTGTTTTCACTAGGAAGGCACAGCCAACAAACTCATGCTGATTTTTACTACCACTGTAGTATAACGTGTAATCTTTCTTCTTGAGCATGCCCACTCCTAACCATCTTAATTCCTGAAGAGCTACTACATCGTAATTCTGCTTATTGCACTCTATTCTTAGTTCATCAAAGGTCCCAGGTCTAAAGAGAGTCCTCACATTCCATGTTACCATTTCATAAATTTGAGATGTGTCCATTTGAGGTATGCCGGATCATTGCCATTGATCAGTCCGTAATCTGAGGCTTGTTTGTTGAGCTATCATAACAGTACGCTTTTTTTTATGTGGAAGGGATTGTTATCCCCTCTGCACAACCCTCCTCTTTTATCTGGGCTTCGGACCGGCTGTGATTCCCGCAAAGCGACTCTTACAGGCAGAGTTGGCTTTATCCTTCCTATTGTCATAAATATTTCTATCCTTCCTCTTCCAAGTCATCCAATCTCTCCTTCCTTCGTACGTCCCCAAGCTTCTGCAATTCAAATCCTCTGGTCACTCCTACAATACCCTTTTCCAGTTTTCAGATTTATATACAAGTGCACACTGAACCGGTGCTTTCGATAAACTTTCATTATCTGATCCTCATTCCTATGGAACTCTGTCCCTTCCTACATCGGTCCCTCCAGTGTTCTCCCCACCTTTAAATCTCGCCTGTGCAATTACTTCCTATCCATTCAGTCCCCATGGGATAAGATGGGGAAGGATTTTAAATTAAATATTTATACTTAGAGACAATAAAGGTAAAGGAAAAACAGAAAGATATTTCTTGGATAAAAGTATTGGGTGTACTAGTTTAAGCTAATCAGTATAAGCTAGATACTGGTAGCCTCTGACTTAGCTACTTCTCCACTATCATAGTTTGATCCCCACCACTTTTCTTTAACACTAATTATCTTTGCAAATATATATTAAAAAAAATCAGGACTTCTTGCATTTTTATTGTTACAACCCAATCTTCCCAGATAAATTGTAAATCCATACAGGTTCCAAATTATTCACAGCTCATTAAAGAAAACTTGAACATTTTTTTGGTCCAAGTAACTTATATGTGTTCAATATGTTTTATTTTTTACAGGTGGGAATGCGGGAAGGAACCAATGTTTCAATGTCAACTTTGTATAAAGAAGTTTCACCATAGGCACGGACTAAAGCAACATATGAAGCTGCATATTGCTAAGAATGAAGCTCTGGGAACTGGAAAAGGATCCTATGCCTCATTTCAGTTCTGTTGTGAGAAGTGTGGACGCGGCTACAAACTCAGATCAAGCCTTAATAATCACATCAGGTGGGAGTGCGGCAAGGAGCCTGTTTTCCCTTGCTCTGTTTGCGACGTTCGTTTTACTCACAAGGGTAACCTCAAGAAGCACATCCTCACGAAACACGTCGTGAAGGTACCTCAGGATGTTGCCAAGCAAGAAGATAATAAGAATGTTGTTAAGTCTGTCTGTGAAACATCTTCAGATGTTGTAGCCATCCAATAGGCGAAATCAAAGTGAAAATTTGTCGAATAGCATAACAATATAACAGTCAGTTTAATTAATGAACTATAATAAAGTTGGATGTATGTATGTATTTTAATGATGTTTTTTTATGGTTATTACCTTTTTGTTCATTGTAAAATAAAGAATATTGATTTTGACGATTAAAACATTTAGTATTACATAAGTAGATTTTTTTAAAATTTAAACCGTCTGTCTTAGGACTGTATACTGTATATTGTCTTCTATAGAAATATTTGTATTCCTACTTATCAGTTTATTTTAAAAAGTATATTATTGACCAAGCTCAAATTTTAAGAACTTTTTCATAAATGTTGGCCTTATTTATTGACATAAATAACAGTAAACGCATATAATTGACATAAACCTCTTTATCTATTAAATTTTTTTACACTACTTAGTGATTTAATTTTATGAATTGTTATTTAACGGCTTTTTTTTTAATAAACTCACTATATACTAGTTTAACGAACTTTTTAGGTATCTCATTAGGTAATTGGACCCTTTATTTTAAAAATATGGAAGTCCTTATTGTTTAAAGGAGAGTGTGAGATATCTTAAAGAGAAGCAAGGCTTCAGATATACAAGATTTGCAGACAAGAATCCCGAGTTTTTATTGCTCCACATATAGACGCAGACAAGAAGCCATTTAATGAAATCAAACAAACTATTAAAAAAAACCTTCACTTTGCTCCAATTTACAAAAAGTCCATTCCTTTGCTAACTTTCCAGGGTGGCAACCAGTCCTGGAATACCTGGGAAAGTCAGGGAATTCTATGGAAAAACGCTGTAAGGTAAGGAATTTCACAACCTAGGGGAAGTGAGCACAAATTTAGTTTTTAAGCCAATAAGTTTAAAATTCCAAATTACAGATGATTCTAATCGGAATTCTAGAGATTAAAAAAAGTACTTCAGTCTTTGAAAAAAACTTAATTTTTATAAATTATTGGAGGAAGTTCTACATATCGTGGGTAATAAATATTAAGGACATAGTCATAAAGTTTTTATTAATGGCGTTTCAATCCAAACATACACTTGAATGACTTCAGTGCTCGAAACACGCCCTGATGATAACTCACATGTTTGGGTTGAAATGTCGGCACTAATAAAAACTTTATAATGACTGCGTTCTGAATCTTTATCACCCACTAATTTTTATAAGATTCAGGCTGCCAGGCCATCTTCAGTTGATTTTAAGGGGAGCTGTCTCGAGTAAGATATTTTAAATTATGCATTTTAAAACCGCTTGAAAGTTATAAGTATTTTATCTTGTCTCATGAATTCCTAATAAATTATATCTCTTCAACTTAAGAAAAAACATACCCTGATACTGCTATTGTTTAAGTGTCAAAGAGGGTACCTTGATATTTTTATTTGTATGCCTATTTAATTTTTATTAGATTCTTACATACTTATATATATATTTTTTTATTTATAATTGTGGGTAAATGATTGACTGTCGTGAATAATGAAGAGAAGAATAGTTGGGGTGATCAGTCAAATAAGTAGGCAAAAATAAATAATATTTATTTTGACATTTGCCGACGTCTCTACCTGAAGTTCAGGGCTAAGAAAAGAACCAGATAAGGTATGAGAAACATAAGTAGTGTAGGTAAAAAAAAAAATTTAAAGTAAAATGCAGTTGTTAGAATAATGACAATAGTAAGAACAAGAGATAAATAATAATAACCGGTACAAAGTGTGGAATGATGAAGTAAACATAATCAAAAAGCTGACATAAGTATTAAAATGGGAATCTTAGAATAAAATGTAAAACAGAAAAATATGAAGTTATATAAGAAATGGAAATAAACAGTAAAATTAAGATATTGCTAATAGAATAGTTAGATAGAAAATTGAGATGTTGTAAAGTCTATCAAGATGTACTGACAATGTATAATATAATAAAGAGTTAAAACAGAGAAAATGGATGAAAGGAAGGAGGAAAGAAACTGAGAAGTCTAAAATAAGAAAGGAAAAGAAAAAACAAACCTGACTGGAAAGATGTAAATCGGAGCAATGAGGATGGAAGTCAGAATTCATTTTTTATTTACCTCAGAGTTAAATATTGCAGTCATTCTTGATGTAAAAAAAATAAGTTTATTATCTCCTCCATTGAAAGATATATGTCTCGATGATGAGTTGTCATCTTTTCATATAGCTGTCTACAACTCCAATTCTATGAAGATGCTGCTGAAAGTAGATGTGCCCATATTTGTTGGGAGGAGGGGAGGGAAGAGGTGATTACTGGAAGGAAAATAAGAAATTGGGTATCGAGGAAGGAAAGTATAAAAGTACTCAAAATTACAGGTCCTAGCAGATGTTGGTTCAAAAGTAATCATATCTCAATAATTAATTAATTTTTATTGCTTTTAAACCGAAGTTTATTACTAGGGTTTTCTGGTACCACACAAATAGTATAAAAGTCATGACAATAAAAACCGTTACAACATAAATATCGGTTTAAAGTAACGATACTTTGTCACACTTTTTTTTTTTGGAATTCAGTAACTGTTAGTTATCGTTGTCTGATACCAATGTAGTATCGATACCACAATATCAAGAAGTATTTATACCTACGCATATTATTACAACAAATTCAAATATCGGTTCAAAAGTAATGATAATTCTGAGTAATCACTTCATTTGTAGCTTACTTAAATATTAAAAGTTTTATAAAAAAAGTTGAATAATTATTAAGAAGGGTTTACACGTTTCCAAAATCCCAGAAACCCAAACAAACGAAAACCAAAACACAAGGATCTGGAGTTTTACATATTTCTGTATTTACAGTGAAACAAACATGGACGTTGATAATCATACTTGCCCTAATTTTTAAATAGCAAATAAAAATGTAAAAGCGACATTAGTGCTATATTAAACTCTTTTAAAACCGATAGCAGATGGATAGGTTAGCAAAATAAGGTCAAAAACATCCCATTCACACGTTCGTGTAGTTTGTGAAATGTGTAAACGGATTGTCAGATAACAAAGAAGAATCGATATTAAACAAATAATATAACCAAAGTATGGATGCTGATGAATACTCTTACTGACCAAATGTGGTTAAAAAGTAAAAATACTTCATTAATAGTCAAAAATATTTTTAAAGTTAATAATAGTTAAACAAGCGATCAATTTAAGTGAGCACTTAAAAGTTACTTTTAAACCGATATTTATATGGTATCGATTCTTCGTTGTATTGGACAGTGATAATATTCAGTCAATTTAATCATTTAAATAGTGGGTATTTTGTTGAGTAATAATAGCTAAATTTAATACTTTAATAAGCGATATAATAACCTGAGTATTTAGAAGTATATAATTTTGAACCGACATTTTTGTAGAATTTATATACTTGCTTACATTCAATTCTGTTTTGGCATAATAATTAAGTATTAAGTTACTTTTTAGGTACTAGTATCGAATGGGAAGTTTCTGTATCAATAATACTTGATATCGGAAGAAATATATCGATTACATATCGATATCGATCAGTATCTGACAACCGTCTAGTCGCCTTGAAACCGTAAGTGTGGCCTTCCCAGTAGGCCACCTAACGCCGAGAAATTGACTTGTTTTGATTTTTTTTTCCAATTATCAGTTTTTTTTTTCATTCTACGGAGAGTTTTTGCTTTGATATTATTTAAAGTAAGTATTCTTAATTACATTTAAAATCTCTAGCAACCATAACATATTAATAATTAGATATAATTATTTTTAAAAATATGTATTTTTTAGTAGTAATGTGCCAGGTTCATTTTGTTACATTGTTTAGTCAATATTAGCGTTTAAGTTTCATTTCATTTAAGCAGTGCTGATCTCTTGAGGCGCCCGCCATTTGTTAAGAATTATAAAGTGTCTGAGATAAATTAATTTTACTCCATTAATAAGACGAATTTAATTTGAAATAATATTATCTAATATTAATCTAGGCGAAATAGTTAATTTTTTTTTAGAAGAAATACTCAAGGGACTTATTCAACGTATCTATAGAAAACGTTTCCTTTACAAGCATGGAAGGACGTTTCACGGAAATCGTTCTCGAAACGAACTTGATCATAGTTTAAAATGGCTAGTAATGGGCTAAAATGTAAAATTTACAGGTCATCTACAGTTAGTAAATCGGCTTTGATCAGCTTCTAGTAGCTATTATAATACTAGTGATGCAGTTGATAGAGAAGTGCTGGGATCTCCTGGAGTCCTGTTTTTCCCTCCATAGTTGAGGGGAATGGCTTCGCTCGGATTTCTCCTGAATGATTGATTGAAAATTGTGTATATAAGTAAGCCTGAATTTATGTTGTTATTTATATTAATTTAACTGTAACTTTTTTCTTGTTTATTTAATATATTTTAATATTTTGCTGTTATTTAATTTTATTTATTTATATTTATAGTATATGTGATGGTATAATAAACCCTTTTATCTCTGTTACTAATGACCTTAGTTGGGACAGAATGTTATATAACGTAATAAAGAGATTTAAAAAACATTATCAAATGATAACGTGTTCTAGTAACAGGTTATTAAAATAACCTGTGAATTAACAATATCACACTACGATATAGTAAACTTTTTATCAAATCATTAAAATTCGCCTTTTAACATCATAAGTGTCTTCTTATCGTAACCTACATATTTTTAATCTACGAAAATAGTTGAAATTGGGACGTTTTCAATCTGAATATTTGAAAACATGTCGGTATAATGAGGTACTAAATACTTATAAACATACATCTTGAAATAGTTTTATCACAAAATCTAGAAAAATGGTGGCCTACAAAAATATTCGGACGGGGTGGATTAATTTTCACTCCGAATATGTCGAAATAATGAGGTTATGAACATCTAGCTAATTTTTACGTTACTGTTTAATAAAGATGAGTACAATCAAATGGTCAAAGTGGCCTACAAAATTCACAGGCCTTTTCTCCAAATCTACGCCATAAACATTTCAATTTCACTTTAACTGATTAACAGTTCTTTAATTTATTATTTTCAATAATGAACCATTTTAATCGTCCAAAAAATTAAAAGAATTAACTCTCCTCATAAAAATTATTATTATTATTTTTTACAATGTTATATAGAACTCGTTGGTATGTGTGGACTATAATTTGAATGGTACGTTTTCGAA